ATAATAATAATAACAACAACAACAACAACAACAATAGTAATAGTAATAATAATATCACCTACGCCCTATGGCACATGTCTGAACTTGATAGATTAAAAAAAAACAAAGGTGCTGGAAGCAGGAGAGAAGTGCAGACGACACTGAAGCAGCCCAAGCAAAGAGGCAAACGAGCTTCGCCTGCAGAGGCTGAGCGCGCAGCTGAGCGCGCAGCCTGGGGAACCGCGGGGCTGATGTAAACCCACCTCTGCCTGGCATTCTTCTAATAAAGTCAAGATCTGAGAATTTTCTATTGCAAAACACTTTTTTTCCTTCTGCATACAAGGCGCAGTGCTGGAAGACCCAGCGATCACAGCGGTTCTGGCGGCCACTTACACGGACGAGAGGAAAGGGGGAGGCAGGGATGGGGGCGCAGGAGACTGCTCGAATTCCCTTGCCTGCAAAATTACAGTGCTGTGGTGGTGGGAAAGTTAGAGGAGGAAACACCTCAGAAAGTTTGCAGCTCCATGCAGGGAGCCTGGGAGACAGGGTTTCAGCACAGACTGCAGGCTTCTGGCTGCTGCCAGGTTTGCTGCATTTCTTCTGGCTGCTAATCTGAGGTAGGAGGAAGAGGCTGCCACTCGGGGCGGCCAGGGTTTAGAACGGGGATGGATGGCGAGAGTTTCCCGACTCTTCTGAGTCACATCTGACGAAGAAACTCCTGTCGAACTCGCTACCAGGCCGGCCTCTCGGCGGCCTGCAGGCCCCTGCTGCCTGCAGCCCCTGCCCGGGCTCCGCGGGCACCCGCCCCCCCAGCCCGGCACCCCCAGACACGCACACCCCCTCCCCCCCGCAGCAGGTCCGTGGGGAATAGCCACTTTCTTACTTTGCCTCTCTCTTCCAAAATTCTGAGGTACAAGAGCTCTGGACAAGGGCAGAGTAATTCACCCATCAGCAAGCCTTTGAGTGTAGCTACTAAAGAAAATTCACAGCTCTCTAAAGTGCTAAGTCACAATCTCTGGTTTCCAGATTTCATTTCAGGCCAGTCTGCCCTTTCTCCCCATCCTTAACCAGGTGACCTTGCTTCAAAACATTTTATTTCCAGCTGAAGTGAAAAATGCTAACATATTAGCTTCTGTAATTGCAGTTTGACAGCACTTGATCTCAATAATTATGCTGCAGCTAAACTATTATTAACGGTTTAAGCTAAAATAAACAGAAATCCCCCTTCGGAAGTTAACAGAAACAAACCATTTGAATTGCTCTGGGGGAAGATGGGGGTCTCTTACCTGCGTTGTAGGCTGCCAGATCTGCCCCAGGCCCCGGGCTCTTCCTTTTCCTGGGTCTCCCCTTCTGGACAGTCCCCACGCCGTTGTAATAAGGCAGTCCCAAAGTGTTGGCAGAGCCCGCTCCCAATGCTGGACCCTTCCCAGCGCCTACATCCGAGTGATTGAAATGCACCTGGTACTCCCCCTGGATGAGAGTCTCGAAATGGAGGCGGCAGTACACCAGATTGTCCTTCATGCCAAAGTGATCGCCGGTGGTCAGCATCTTGTTGCAAGTGGTGCAAGTGAAGCAATTTAAGTGATATACCAAATCCCTGGCCCTCATGACCATCTCGGAGGCAGAAATCCCCAGGTGACACCTCGCACATCTCTGCACCGAAAACCTCCTGCAAAACAGAACGGCCAGAGGAGACGGTGAGAGGAGCATCCCCCCTCCCCCCTTTCGTCGGGTGCGCCCGGAGGACGCCAGAGGGAAGAGGGGCTGCGGGGTTAGCAGCACAAAGCCGGGAAGCTTGCGGAGCGGCTCCGCCAGCAGGCGGGCACTGCGGCAGGGAGCCCGGTGGGCTCAGTCTCACTTCCCACCTAAAGGGGCAGCTCCTGTCCCGCCAGCTCCTACAGGGAAAACGCACCGACGGCCGTCCCGCAAACTTCCCCAGGGCCGAAGGAGGCCCCAGGCAGCCGTCAGTGCCCGGGGCTCAGCCCCATCCCTCTGCCCCTGCAAAGGGACGCGGGCGAGGAGGGCGAGCCCTTCCCCAGAGTGAGGGTGCCACTCCGTTCCATGTCCAGCGTGTCCAGGACAGGGAACACGCTTAACTCTCCTTGGCCATCGCACTTCCTTTGGCATCCCAAGGAGCCGTGGCAGGGGACGCGTGCTTGAAGCCCCCAGCACCCGCCAGCAGGCCGGGGGCAGCCGTGCCCGGGCCGTGCCCCCTCCCGGGAACACGGGCTCATCCCCACCATTACTGTCCCTCTCCAGTGGGAGGTTTTAAGACCCCACAGCCTGTCCCATGGGGACCACGTGCCCACGGATTCCCTCCGCAGTCTCTTCAGGACGGGGTTTGCTCAGAGCGGGGGTCCGCAGGTGCCCCCCTCCCAGGCTGGGTGAGGAGCAGGCTGTACCTGTAGTAATCCTCTTTGCAGTAAATGCTGCCGTCCTTGCTGAAGCAGGTGAGCTCGGACTCCAGGTTGAGTTTACATTCACAGCACTTCAGGCAGCGCATGTGCCACTGTTTATCCACAGCCAGGAGGTAATAACGGTCGGAGATTTTCCCCCCGCAGCCGGCGCACAGGGCAGCCCGGTCACTGCTGATGGAAGGCATGGTCTGCTGGGGGAAAACAATTACAGACCGTTAACGAGAGGGAGAAACTCCTGTGCACTGCTGGGCTCCCCCCTCCCCTGCCCGGCTGGGGCTGGGCTTCTCCTCTGCCTTGCAGGGGCTTGGCAGGCTCAGAGGAGCGGAGCGGGGGCTCCGAGCCCGGCCGCCCCGACGGGACGCGGGTCTCCAGGGTCCCCCGGCAGCCCACCTTCCCGGGAGGAACGGGGAGGAAGGCGAGACAAGGGAAAAACATCCTAGGTTTTAGGGAAGGCGTCCAGAGGAGACCCAGGACTTTTAATATTTGTATCTTTTTATTATTATTATATTTTAAATATTTTTCGGAGCAAGGGAAGATGCTGGTCAATAAACAGGAGCAATAAGCACAGAGCAGGGCAAATCGCAGATAGTTAATTTCAAAATTTATTATTATGGATATGCTGAGGGTGTCTGCATAGTTAATGCTCTGTGAGTGCGTGTATGCGGAGTGTGTCTCTGTGTGTATTTTCCTAGCTATAAAATTCCGAATGAATTACGATCAAACTCCCCAGCAGTCACAGAGCCACAGACACAGGTCTCCGCAAGCTGGTTCCCAACAACACGTCCCCGAGTCTGCTGTGACCCAAAGCACTAAAGGGATCAGTAAATAAAACTGCGGAAGGAGACGGGCATCACTAAGTCCGAGGTGCAGAATGTTTTATCAGGAAAACGAAATAGGGGGAAACGTCTCGGAAAGAAAGTGGGGAAAACAAAACTGAGCACTTTAGATTATGCTGGGATAAACTTGGAAGCAATAAAACTAAATGTAACCCCTATATAATTTAATAGTTTAGTGTCAAATCGCAATCCAAACGAAACCCCGCAAAAAACCCCAAGCACATACATAATCTGTCAACTTCTACAAAAAATGAAAGAGAAAAATACCGGAAACCGTTCAAGCACGCTTATTTATTTTAGCCGGCACCTTGACCAGAATCAGGAGAGGAGGCTGGGAGGGGAGCAGTTTATGGCAGCCCTCGCAACGTGCTGCCGTCCCCTTCGTCCCAAACTCACCAGCACCCACTTTGCACAAAAGCTGCGGATTTCTTATTGTGCAAGAGAACTCCAGACATTTTTTAAAAGATGTGACAAACACGCAGTTTGTTTTGATTGGGGGGGGAGAAGTTGTTTGTTTACTTTTACTTCCTCTACAGCCTTAAGTCCTTAAGCAAAGCAAAAAGAAGACAGCAAAGAGGAAAGAATACGAAGCTATTTTTTCAGCACAGCCTGGACTGATTACTTTCATCCCGTACTTGCAGAGATCACCGAACCCATCGCGGTGAGCGCTGCTCTTTGCACGACACCATTCCCACTAGCAGAACTACATTAAATAAAATGATGGCACCACGTTGCTATGTTGGCCTCTCAAGTCCACTGTAGCTTCGCTCTTTAAGGCATTAAGTGAACTCTGATTAGGGATCGGTTTATAACCAAAGTAGTTTCTTGTAAATCCACTTCCATTGAGATACAGTTTTTCTGCCTTTTTTTTTGTCTCCAGGGTCCCCCGGCAGCCCACCTTCCCGGGAGGAACGGGGAGGAAGGCGAGACAAGGGAAAAACATCCTAGGTTTTAGGGAAGGCGTCCAGAGGAGACCCAGGACTTTTAATATTTGTATCTTTTTATTATTATTATATTTTAAATATTTTTCGGAGCAAGGGAAGATGCTGGTCAATAAACAGGAGCAATAAGCACAGAGCAGGGCAAATCGCAGATAGTTAATTTCAAAATTTATTATTATGGATATGCTGAGGGTGTCTGCATAGTTAATGCTCTGTGAGTGCGTGTATGCGGAGTGTGTCTCTGTGTGTATTTTCCTAGCTATAAAATTCCGAATGAATTACGATCAAACTCCCCAGCAGTCACAGAGCCACAGACACAGGTCTCCGCAAGCTGGTTCCCAACAACACGTCCCCGAGTCTGCTGTGACCCAAAGCACTAAAGGGATCAGTAAATAAAACTGCGGAAGGAGACGGGCATCACTAAGTCCGAGGTGCAGAATGTTTTATCAGGAAAACGAAATAGGGGGAAACGTCTCGGAAAGAAAGTGGGGAAAACAAAACTGAGCACTTTAGATTATGCTGGGATAAACTTGGAAGCAATAAAACTAAATGTAACCCCTATATAATTTAATAGTTTAGTGTCAAATCGCAATCCAAACGAAACCCCGCAAAAAACCCCAAGCACATACATAATCTGTCAACTTCTACAAAAAATGAAAGAGAAAAATACCGGAAACCGTTCAAGCACGCTTATTTATTTTAGCCGGCACCTTGACCAGAATCAGGAGAGGAGGCTGGGAGGGGAGCAGTTTATGGCAGCCCTCGCAACGTGCTGCCGTCCCCTTCGTCCCAAACTCACCAGCACCCACTTTGCACAAAAGCTGCGGATTTCTTATTGTGCAAGAGAACTCCAGACATTTTTTAAAAGATGTGACAAACACGCAGTTTGTTTTGATTGGGGGGGGAGAAGTTGTTTGTTTACTTTTACTTCCTCTACAGCCTTAAGTCCTTAAGCAAAGCAAAAAGAAGACAGCAAAGAGGAAAGAATACGAAGCTATTTTTTCAGCACAGCCTGGACTGATTACTTTCATCCCGTACTTGCAGAGATCACCGAACCCATCGCGGTGAGCGCTGCTCTTTGCACGACACCATTCCCACTAGCAGAACTACATTAAATAAAATGATGGCACCACGTTGCTATGTTGGCCTCTCAAGTCCACTGTAGCTTCGCTCTTTAAGGCATTAAGTGAACTCTGATTAGGGATCGGTTTATAACCAAAGTAGTTTCTTGTAAATCCACTTCCATTGAGATACAGTTTTTCTGCCTTTTTTTTTTTTTTCCTTCCCGTTAACAAAAATACTCTGAGATCCAGAAACGGTGTTTAAGGACCCACTATTCTATTTCACTACTTGTTACATACACGTGTATGTATATACATTATATATAGATACATAGAAGTATCATGTCACAGTATTTATTCCAGGAAAAATAATTTTATATTGTTTAATTCTACGGAGAAATGTTAACTTTTCCAAAGAAAACCAAAACCATTTAGATTAGAAACCACGTTCCACCCTTACAGTATAAAAGCTGTTTTCCAGCCAGTATTTCAGGATTAAATACTCTCACTGTCACCTTTCAGTAAATTTCTACATAGCATTGAGAAATAACACATAGTGCTGAAGTTTTTAAAACCAAGAACAGATAATCTTTCTTGCATATGCCCGTATCAGCTTACAAGACAGCATTTCACCAAAATACGGGATCATTTGACTTCAGAATTATCATATCAACCAAGAAAGCACACATAAAATGTCGAATTAGTTAACACATTTCAGAAATCTCTTCCACTTCGCTAGCTTAACTCTGGTGGGAAGGATGCATCTTTTTATTTAAATGTATTAACATACAAGTACTACAAATCAGCAGGCATCATATAAAAAGTAGTAAAGTTATAAAAATTTGCATCCACCCGTCTCCCTGAAACACGTCCTCTAGTTGTTTGCTATGTTTGCAAACCCAGTGTTCATATATATACATATATAACAATTGTTGTAGTTTTTTTTAAATAGTAACTTAAAGGCACTCGAGTTTGTTGTTTTGTTTTGCCTTTTTTTTTGTTTTGTTTTGTTTATAAATGCCTTAAAGACTCCCTCAGTGTAGACATTCTCCCTGAAAAATAACACAGAACTGGATCTGTGGTGCTCATGTTCCCATTCTGCAGACAAAAATTTCACTGTGCCAAAATGCTATCTGTTTGGAAGCATACTTTGTCTCTTCCCAAAAACTTTGGAAGGCCGGACAGGCTGGGGGAAGGGAAGGCGTTCTTGGACTCTACCAAAAGGCTGGTTTATCTTTCTCTTTTCTCGCAAGAGCAGCACTGTTAATTTCACCCAAGCGTTACTATTACTATGCATATTATTAATAATTAACAGTTTCATGCCTTTCCCCACGGTTTTCTTTAATCTTTCGGGGTGCCTTTCTGCTCAATTTTCTTCTGATTTAGCATTTTGCATAGGTTTCCCCCCGATCCGTTATTTTAAGGGAAAAGCTCTATCTCTGAGGGGTGCATTATGTTTAGGGGGTGAATGACTCCCATTCCTTTGCTTCCTACCGTTTCGGTCTCTCCCCTGTCTATAGCCGAGCTGATGGCCGGTGCTTCGCTTTTGGTTCTCCGATCCATCTCGTCGATGACCCCGTGCATCTCCGAGCCGGACAGACTGTGGAAAAGCATCGCTGAGGAAGCAGAGGAAGAGGCCCCGAGTTGCTGCTGCTGACAGTTGTCGGGGTCCCTGCAGGAGCCCAGAACTTGCATTAACCGGAGCCCTCCCCCATGCATCTAGCACGGTCGCCCCGTCTCTCCTTGGGCTCCGGGCTTTTCACCCCGGCAGAGTTCTCCGGAGCGCAGCGCAGGCACTGATCCGAGGGGGATGGGGTGCAGAAAAGGCGGGCGAAGGGAATGTGGGAGAGGGGATAACTGGTGGTATAAGCTTCGGGGCTCGGATCTAGTCTGTTGCGCGGCCCCGGCACGTCCCTCTAGGAGGCTTCTTCAGTGCAGGGCTCATTGCCCCAGGTGCAGTCCCAGGCTTTATGCTCTGGCCCAGCTGGCAGAAGGCTGGGCAGGTTTACGGTTGGGAGGGATTAATAAATAATAGGAATATAAAAAATTAAACCATCTTCAGTGAGAAATAAATAAAGAAAAATAACAACGATAAGCCCCTCACATCGTACTGTGCGAAATTTAGAGGAGGAAAGCAAGGGAGAGAGAGGCTGCAGCAGGCGGAGAGCAGGCTGGTGCTGCACGGAGGATGGAGGGACGCCCACCGTGCGCACTCACAGTCCAGAGGGCTGGCAGCGGCGGCAGCGCAGGGGCAAAGTTTGCTCCTTCCCCCGCTCCTCCCCCAGCCCGCTGGAGCTCATTGGGAAAAGAAAAAGCCAAGGGGATGGAGGAAGAGTTGGATGGGCACCAGATGGGACGGGCACGCGGCGGCCCCCCTCTCTCCTGAGAGCGGCAGGGCCCGGGGCGGCTGCTCGGGGGGGTGCGGGGAGGAGCGGAGC